TTCTCCTATAAATTTACTTATAAATTCTATATTATTATATAATTCTGTATAAGTGATGCAATGTTTGACCTAAAAATAAAATTTCATCTTTACAATTCAATATTAAAAAAGATCTCCACGATATATTAGGTCGTCGTTCAGTATGAAATGCACACTTTATTCTATAATTTTACTATAAAATTTATGCTTTTCATACTTAATCGACCATACTTAATGTCTTGTATATTGATTTATACTTTATAGAAATCCGTAAATAGTAAACTCTGACATGTGCTAAAAATAGCTTTCAGTTAAATAAATTGTCGTAAGCAAGCCATTCAATATAAAAAAGTTGTACATTTCGAAAATTCGATCGAGAGAGGAATCGACTGTCCGTTCGCTAATTCCATAGACTATATTTATGAACAAAAGCAGCGTGAAAAATCCGGAGAACGCATAAAGAAGCAGGTGGTCACTTATCGAAGTGTACGGATCAGAGCCGCGCAGTTTTTCCATTTTTGTTCGGTCGTGGGACGCGAAGTAAACGACGCCGACGAGAAAACCGCGGGGAAAGACAATGGCGTGTTAACTCAGCGCTAAAAAATGTTTCTGCCTTCAACCCCGCCTCGTGTCTCTCGGGACGTCTTTAATAATTCAAACGCTACGCGTTTCTACGGGCGTATTCGTATGCTAATAAGCGGACGGTCTTCTCTTACATTGATAGCACCGACGAATGACTTCGCGAAAAGAGACCGATTGTCTCGATCCAAAAAGAAATTCGTCGGCGTTCGACGAAAAAAAATTACGCTCGCGGACGCATGTCTGCGCCATTTATAGATATTCTTTCTAAACAAAGAATTTTATCAAGGTGTACGATCTTTTGCTACGCGCTTGTTGCGTAGCAAAATAAATTATTTGAAGTATTGTTATTTATCGGGGTATTTAAATCTCGAGAATTAATTCTTCGTTGATAATTTGAAACGATTCATTGCACAATGGGAAATTCAAATGATTTATTCTTCAATTCGCGGTAAGAGCTAATGTAAAACTGTTCTATTTATGTAAGTAAAATTTGTACATTTTCCTTCGAATCGAGAGCTTGCTCGTTGAAACAAATGGTAGCGTTGATTTGTAAAAAAATAGACATGCAAAATGAAAAATTTCCAGGACGTTTCTAGAAAGCAGGAATTAAATAACAATAAATTGTTTTAATAATTTTAACGATGTTCTTATGTCTTTACAATTTTATGTTTCATTACAAAATCCGCAATCTAGTAATAAATTTTCTTTTAATGATATTATTATGTTATTACGGTCTGGAAATTTTCTCGAAGATGATAACCCGTTTCCTATCCAGGAAAAAGGATCACCGAACGCTGCTCAATGGTTCGCGTAATGAATCCGTTGTGTACACAGCCCTTAAGATTCGAAAGGAAGCGACAGTGGTGCACGCCGGCGACTTGTACGTGCGTTCACAACTGAATTAGCCGGTTCATTGTCTGAATGGGAAAACAGAAATATTAAGTGAATGTAAATACGGTAGAAATCTACGCGTCGTCCGGTTGACAAAGATATCTGCCATTGTTGCCTCTATCGGGGGAAAATTTACCTCTCTGACAAATCTTCGAAAATAAAAAATGTTCCTTCAAGAGCAAATACAACAGAAAAATTGAGAACATTGAATGAATATTAACAAAATAGTAAATGCTCTTTCTGTAACTACTTCTGCATAACTCTTTCTGTACAATAAATCTTTCTCAAATCTAATAGACACAAAGATACTGAAAAGTGAGAACAAAAGTAGTCCAAAAATTTCTCCAATTTACAGCTTCCTTTTAATTTACGTAAATCAGTCAATTTCTTTTTTTCGAGCATACATTATGATAAAAATACGCTAAAAGCCTGCATAAATGTATTTTTGTTATTTTTACCAAGTCAAATGAAATGGTTGCTTTCGGTGCTCTGTGAAGCCAGTGTCGATGAAGAAGATATTCGTTATGGCACTTTCCATTAAGTATAATAGATTTATTACCATCTTTTTTAACGAAAAAAAACAGAACCTGGAATTTTCTAAACTTCTTCTAGACGCTTCGAATCTAAGATACTTCTATATCACTGGTTGCGTCTAAATCCGAAACAAAGTTTCTGGGCCCACGATCGGCGAACCACTTGCCGCTGGATCAGCATGGAACCTTTATAACGCGGAAGGCCAAACAGCCTGACCGATAACTTTCTCCCATTGAGAAGTCCGCCATACACGGCTAAAGAATCTATCGATAGTCGTGCTAGGCTCTCGTTACGTCCAATTCCCCCGGCTCGCTCTTCTTAATTAGTTTTCCTCCAATTAAGGGCATTGTTTCGGTTAGCTCGGAAGCAACGCGTTCGCCAGATTAGCGGATGCGGCCGGGCTTATCTAAATCAAAGCCGATCAAAGCTTTCGCGTACCCAGGACTCCGCGTGCGCCGTCGTACTTCATTCGCAATTAATTCATACGTACACACGTTTAATTATCGCGAACAGCCGGCAGCTATCTTATTCCGCAAAACCCGAAGATTACCACACGCTGGCAGGATACTGGTCGCGCAGGGCCGACTTCAGAGACGTCCTCCGCGGTTCCCAGAAGATAAACTCCGCATTTAGTTGACCCGTTTCCCCGGGACCACCTTTTCAATGAATAATTGAATTCGATCGTAATTAATGCAATTTATTTCGCCCGGGATCGGGGTAATTTAATTAGACCACCTAGGGCGAGGACGCGTCGCATGAGACCGCGACTGTTCAAAGACGGCACGGCGCACGTCTGTCTCGAACGTCTCGACGATCTTCGTGCGTGTCTGGGATATCGAAATCTAGATGATGTCGTTCATTCCGGTTCGAAAGAATTTACGCTACGTCCGTAGAATGCGTTCCAGTGTCCTGAAAATACGGCATACGAGAATATACACGCATAAATCGCTTAATTCGCGAAGAAGATCGTTAGGTTTCTTTAGTAATATATGTATAGTCCGCGGATCTTTGTGCGAAATCAAAAGTTTCTAACACGACTGTAAGAAACAGAAATTAAACAGAAACAAATTGTCTCTTAATAATATTGATAAGTTGAAAATGGTTTGAAACAGTATTATTAAATTCTTCTTATGCCTTTACAATTTGACATTTCATTGAACACATGTAGAAATAGAAAATTTGCTCATTCTCTGAATCAAAATGTTGAAGAAAATTAAATTTTACAATTCACAACATACTTTTATGACAATGTAAACTTCGAAAGATATGATGATATCTGTAATGTGAGAATCATCGTAAACCTTTTATATGAAACTTGATTACAATGAATTTTTATTATAAATTTAAATTGTTTATAATAGATTTTTAATGAAGATTTAAATTTTAATTTATTCTTAATAGAGGTTCGAATAGGAAATTTAAATTATAATAGATTCTTAATAAAAATCTAAATTATGATAGAATTTTAATAGAAATTTAAATAGAAATTTGTTGACACACTTCGAAATTAACGCTCAATTAATAACCCAACTATTCTTCAAATAGTACAATGAACACTCTGCTACGGTTTAAAACAGCCGAAAGTTTGTTTTTGCGAATGCCATCGACAATCAAAGATTGGGACCGTCTCTGGGCTGGTAATTTTCTTGCGGAGATAGCGATCTGTAGAATCTAATTACTCCCGATAATTGGCGCTATTATCGCCATCCCAGGATCACCGTGCCACGAAGATCAGAACGCGGTGGGAAAAAAGCGCTAGGAATCGATCGATCAAAGATGCAATTAGCTGTGCCACCATCCGGACCAGTTTTGTTCTTCCCTCGCTGCTCTTCTGTATACGTCTAATTAAGGCTAATTACGGTAGTCGCCTCTTTGACGACTTCATTCGCCCCTGAGAATGTTTGCAATTTCCCGAGATGCACTTAACACGAAAAGAAGCCGGCGCGATCGCGACGATCGGGGCTGGACAACCGAATGTTGAGTACCGTTACAGCTTTCACCCGGTCCGATCGATAAGCTGCACTTTTTATCAGCAACTTCTTAATCTTGGCTAATTGCACGACGCCGCCCGATTAAAATCTTGCAAATTATTAGGTTCGGAAATTTGGAACGTTCGTTTCAAATCTCTTTTATGAATTAAATTGGGGATACTTTCTGAACAATCTAACAAATTAGTTTGTTCGAAAACAATTAGTTAGGTGGTTCGAAAAGTACATTTTACATTTCGTAGAGTTCGTTTCACTGAATTCCTACAAAAGATTTGAACAATCTATATTTATGATCTTTTCATCGAAGTGGTTGTCGAAAGCGATACAAGTTTCGAATTCGATATGGAATTTTAATGTAAAAGCTATCTTAATAATGGCTGACCACAGTGACTGATTTCAATAGTTCATTGCGCTCTCGAATCTTATGTTTAGATTACGGATTTTCATGCGAATAAAAAAGTTTCTGTATCGATAGGAAGGAATAGGAATTACGTAGGAAGTTGTTTTCTTTTATAATAACTTTTTAGCAAGATCACAATAATGCAACAGTATTCTTAAATTCTTGTGATTGTTTTCGTGTTTTGTATACCGCCTTCTCGTTGTACCAACAAATGCATAAAATCTGCAGTCTATTTACGTAATTCACGCTATTTTAGAGATTCTTTGCCCAAGTACACATAGAATTCTAAAAATAGTAGAAGAATCATAAACGAGCATGTACGATTAATAATTGCGTAGGCTAAAATTTGATTATTACATCACGCCGACAAATATTTTACGTGTGTGTGAGCTATATTTCCGGACTTTTCGTTACAACGGAATGTTATTTCCCAAACGAATAATTTCAGTGAATTCACAGCAATTAATAAAAAGTAGTACGAGTCTCAGAAGTAACTCTGACGGACTGAAACAATGAGAAACGGAAATAAGATTCTAACTTAAATCCTGCCCCAATAATTAGCCTACGAAAGCAGAACTCGTACGAACTATTCTGAACACCGACTAACGTTCGCAATTTGTTTACAGGTTTCACGGGTACACAGTGCGAGATCGACATAGACGAGTGCGCAGCCAAGCCCTGTCTGAACGGCGGCATCTGCACCGATCTGATCAACTCGTTCAAGTGCACTTGCGCGAACGGTTTCGCGGGCTCCCATTGTCAGATCAACATAGACGACTGCGCCTCCTCGCCGTGCAAAAACGGCGGGATTTGTCAGGACTCGATTGCGAAGTACACGTGCGACTGTCCACCAGGGTTCACCGGAGCCTCCTGCGAGACGAACATCAACGACTGTCAATCGAACCCTTGCCACAGCGGCACCTGCATCGACGGGGAGAACAGCTTCAGCTGCAACTGCTTTCCGGGATTCACCGGGAAACTCTGTCAGATCCAGATCGACGAGTGCGAGAGCAATCCTTGCCAGTTCGGCGGAAGATGCGAGGATCGTATAAACGGGTATCAATGCATCTGCAGGCCTGGAACTTCCGGAACGAACTGCGAGGTGAACGTCAACGAGTGTTACAGCAACCCCTGCAGGAACGGAGCGAGGTGCATTGACGGCATCAACAGGTGAGTAGAAAATTCGCTGGTCGATGATTTGGATTTGTGAGTAACCATTTCATACGGAGGGACGAGCCTATCAGAATCAACGGCTCCTGAGCTCTCCGCGGTATGGAACAGGAACAGTGTACTGGATTTCTGCGTTTCGTTAAGCACAGTGTGCGTATCGAAGATTGTCGCACGATGTCAAGGTTATTCGCAGTTCTGGGTAAAATGTTGCGCAGATTTATTTGATCTAGGACGTTATTTTATCTTTGTTTTGTATGGGACGATCTGTTCGACGAATGAACGCCGGGTAGAAATAGTAACTTTTATGATACTGCTTTCACATTGAAAAATTTATACAGTAGTTCTGGTTACACAGATGCCGCTTTATTTTCGCTTGTAATTTGTTTCATATGTTCCATACGTAAACATTGTTGCTTGAAATTTATAATTTGTATGTTGAGGTACGTTTAAAGTAAAACTATGGCGTGTGTAAAATTTCATTCGATGGAACATTATACTGTTCGTTCATTAAACATTTTTGTTCATTCATTGGGTGACGTACTTTTTACAACATTTTATACTACACTTTGAAAAGAAGTTATAACTATCCAAAGTGCTGGAATTCGTATCACAAATAATCGTTTTAACAAACAACGCAGCTTCAGTGTTCATTCATTGGACAGGCCGCCCTGCATTTAATAAGTTTACTGTTGCAATCTCTTCGAAAAGTGTGAAATTATGAAATTATACTGTATATGTTTCAACTTTTTTCTTGTTTTGTTTAAATTCAACACTTTTATAAAAATAATATATTCAATAAGGAATATCAAAGTGTGTATCCCTCTAAGTCCCAGTCAGCTGTTTTTGACGAGTATACCCGTCCTAAAAAACCGGCATCATTTTGTGCTATATACTCGTCAAAAACAGCTGACACAGGGTTAAATCTAAGATATTTATCTTAGCAAAATTGTCAAATAATTTGTATTTAAAATATAACGAACATATACTTTATCGAGTTCGCAAAGTCACACTTCCTCGCGATAAAAGTATTCTTTCTACCCTAAGTTCGTGGCTTTTTGAAATTTTACCCAGACTTGCCGTTTTCATTCGGTACGCTGGTCCCGTGATAAAAAACTGAAACTCTTCCGACTCAAAAAAGAAAAACAACTGTGTGCGACCAACGCAAGATTAAGAATGTTCACCGCAACAATCGCGGCAATCAGGCAAAATTGATCTCCCCCGTCCCGTTAACGAACGTAACACCGAGAATGTCGTGTACCTCCCTTCTCGAGGACACGGATCGCACGGCAAGCGAAGCTCCCTTCGCGTCGACCCCTAATCAGGCAAAATCTTGGTCTGGTCTAACGTTATCATTTCTTCCATCCTCAGTGGATACGATGTCTCTTCTTCCAGGTATTCGTGCGAGTGTGAGCCTGGCTTCACCGGGCAACACTGCGAAACAGACATAAACGAGTGCGCGAGCAATCCTTGCGCGAACGGCGGACGTTGCATCGACATGACGAACGGGTTCCGGTGCGAGTGCCCGCGCGGCTATTACGATGCTAGGTGTCTCAGCGACGTGGACGAGTGCGTCAGCAACCCCTGTGTGAACGGCGGCACCTGCGAGGACGGTATCAACCAGTTCATCTGCCATTGCCCGCCCGGATACGGCGGCAGGAGATGCGAGGCCGACATCGACGAGTGCGGCTCGAATCCATGCCAGCACGGCGGCACCTGCAACAATCACCTGAACAGCTACAGTTGCAAGTGCCTGGCCGGCTACGCGGGCACCAACTGCGAGACCAACATCGACGACTGCGCGAAAAAACCCTGCCAGAATAATGGTTCTTGCATCGACCTTGTCAACGACCACAAGTGCATTTGCGAGCTACCCCATACTGGCCGGGACTGCGAGGACAAGCTGGATCCTTGCTCGCCTAACAAGTATGAACTCTCACAGTCGATCACTGGACTGCGGATTTTATGCGTTCATGAGAAAAAAAACTGAACGGAAGAATTTGAGGATGTTGTCGTCGTATCATCCTTGAACTTTTTACAATTATTAAACGAGGCAAAACACATTTTCGCCTCGCTTACATCCCTTACGATTATCTTCGACAATTTTGATTTCCATGAAGATCCGCAGTTTAGTTATTACACGTTGGACTTTAGGGGATGATCGAAGGTAGCTGTGTCGACGTTGGTAGTTAACGTTCGCAAGGACCTAAGAAAATGTCGTCGGAATGTTTGATTACAGGATTGACGTTTCTTATCGATGAAACGAAATCAATGCCGATGATATCTTGTTACAGATGTCTCCATGGCGCCAAGTGCTCGCCGTCATCGAATTTCCTCGACTTTGCCTGCACCTGCACGGTCGGTTACACGGGCAGACTTTGCGACGAGGACGTCGACGAGTGTGTAATGACGTCTCCGTGCAGAAACGGCGCCACATGCAAAAACACCAATGGCTCCTATCAGTGTTTATGCGCGAAGGGATACGAGGGCAGGGACTGCGTCATCAACACCGATGATTGCGCTTCTTGTAAGTATATACGTGTCGTAATTTAGTGGTAGAGTGATAAGTCAGTGATAGGCTAATGCAGTCGATTATCGGGCAATGATCAATTGCTGTTCTTTCGGTTTGTTTTCGACTTTTATTCTGTTTTGTTCATTTTTAATTAAAAAAAAATGTAATATGTCTTATTCGATAAGTGTAAAGTTAATTATGCCCCAAAACAAATCAAAGGCACAGCAATTAGTCACTCGATAGTAACCGGCTGGACTACCATATATAATTTGACAGTTTCAAGAGATAAGTTTAAGAGTCCGTTTTAAACCACTTATAAATTTTGTACAGTCAGAGAGCAACAATATTCTTGTTGGACTCGTAAAGTACCATGTGGTATTTATCAAAAACAAATCGCCATATTTTATTAACATAGTTTTACGTTCACACTCCTCCGCTAAAAGCTTCACCGCCCCTGCGAGAACTGACCAGTTTTGTCTATTTCAGTCCCCTGTCAAAATGGCGGTACCTGTCTGGACGGCATCGGTGACTACACTTGCCTCTGCGTGGACGGTTTCAGCGGCAAACACTGCGAAATCGACGTGGACGAATGTCAGTCCCAGCCGTGCCAAAACGGCGCCGTTTGCAAAGAGTACGTAAACTCCTACACCTGCCAGTGTCAACTCGGTTTCTCGGGTATCAACTGCCAAACGAACGACGAGGACTGCACGGAGAGCAGTTGCATGAACGATGGCAAGTGCATAGACGGGATCAACAACTACACTTGCGTGTGCGAGCCAGGTTACACTGGTTCGAACTGTCAATACCGGGTCAACGAATGTGACAGTTCCCCTTGCTTAAACGGGGCTACGTGTCACGACCATGTTAAATACTACACTTGTCACTGCCCTTACGGTTACACCGGAACAAAATGCGACCAGTACGTCGATTGGTGCGCGGATAATCCATGCGAGAACCAGGCTACATGTGTCCAGCACAAGAACAAATACCATTGCAGCTGTTCTCCGGGCTGGACTGGAAAAGTTTGCGACGTCGAAATGGTCTCCTGCAAAGATGCTGCTATAAGGAAATCGGTTCCCGAGAAGAATCTTTGTAACAATGGCACTTGCGAGGATATTGGTAACAGCCACCGCTGCTATTGCTTCGAGGGCTACACCGGATCCTATTGCCAGGAAGAAGTCAACGAATGCGACTCTGCTCCCTGCCAGAATGGCGCCACTTGCAAGGACCTGGTTGGCACTTACTATTGTCAATGCACCCAAGGCTTCCAAGGTCAGAATTGTGAACTCAACGTGGACGACTGCTGGAAAGGTCCTTGCCAGAACGGTGGTACGTGCCACGATTTGATCGGCACCTTCAGCTGTTCTTGTCCCCCTGGCACTCTCGGTATCCTTTGTGATACGAATGTCGATGATTGTGCCATCAACTCTTGTCACAACAATGGGACCTGCACGGATAAGGTCGGTGGGTTCGAATGCAAATGTCCACCAGGTTTCGTTGGGCCCAGATGCGAAGGTGACATCAACGAATGTCTGTCGAATCCGTGTGCCTCGCCAGGGACACAGGATTGCGTGCAGTTGATCAACAACTACCACTGCAACTGCAAACCTGGTTACATGGGACGCCACTGCGAAGTCAAGGTGAACTTCTGCGACAGCTCTCCCTGCCAGAATGGTGGAGTTTGTACGGCGAAGCATGCTGGCCACAAGTGTCTCTGCTCCAACGATTATTACGGAAACAACTGCGAATTCGCTGGTTCCTACTGCGACAGACAGCCCTGTTTGAACGGCGGTACCTGCAGTGTAGCTGAGACCGAGGTTGGTTACAGATGTTACTGTCCACCTGGAACTAGTGGAACTCACTGTGAAATAGACGCCAGAGATGAATGCGCGAGCAATCCTTGCCAACAGTCTAACGCAGTCTGCAAGAACCTACTCGGCGATTACGCTTGCGATTGCCCTCCCCAGTGGACCGGAAAGAATTGTGAGATTTATGATGTCAACTATGGAGGTGGTATCTTTGGCAGTGCAAACTCGAACGTGCCGAAACCTATGAACGCCTATGAGCTAGATTTGGAACTCGAGAGGAAGAAATGTGTTGAAAACAGGTGCGAAGAAAAGTCTGGTAATAATCATTGCGACGAAGAGTGTAACAGATACGCCTGTAATTTCGATGGAAACGATTGCTCCTTGGGTATCAATCCCTGGAGGAATTGCACGGCTCCTATCAATTGCTGGGATGTATTCAGGAACGATGTTTGCGACGACGTCTGCAACAATGCTCAATGTCTTTACGATGGAAGGGACTGTGTAAAGAAACTCGCACCGTGCAAGTAAGTATTTACACAGTTTTTAGATCAGTTCTAGTCCTAGTAAATAATGTTATCACAAATAAACTAACTTCTTCTATTACTCTGTTATAGCCCAATCTACGACGCCTACTGCCGTAAACATTATGCCAATGGACATTGTGATTACGGCTGCAACAATGAAGAATGTAACTGGGACGGTTTGGACTGCGATAGAAAACCACCGTCGCTAGCAGAAGGTGTGATTTCGGTGGTAGTAAGGATGGACATGCAGACCTTCAGATCCAATGTAGTAACTTTCCTAAGAGACATCGGTCACGAACTTCGAACCACTTTGAGAGTTAAGAAAGATGAGCTTGGCAACGATATGATTTACCCTTGGAGAAGGGAAAGGGAGCCCAGTCTACAAACTAACTTCTTCGGTCGGCCAACTTCCATATACACCAACACCCAGAATGGAGTGATGGCTTATTTGGAAATCGACAATAGAAAATGCACTGACACTCAAGGAGCAGTGTGCTTCCCTTCAGCGAACGAGGCTGCGGAATATCTGGCAGCTACCGCGTCTAAACATACTCTGTCAAGAAGCTTTCCCATCGAGCAAGTCCGAGGTGTCGTGGGACCGCAAGGTCCAGAATACGCTGATTCGCCAACCAATTACAAATATGTTTTCATCGGTGTCGTCATCGTAATACTCGGTGGAATGCTGGTCGGTGTCTTGGTCACTGCGCAAAGGAAACGTGCAGTTGGTGTAACATGGTTCCCAGAAGGATTTCTCCGAACCAGCAGTGGAAGTGGACAACGCCGAAGATCTCGAAGAAGAGGCCCGGATGGTCAAGAAATGAGGAACTTAAACAAACAACCGTCAGTCAATTGCATGGATCTGGACGTAGGAAATGGTCGAGCTCAACAGTGGTCGGACGACGAGTCAGATCTACCACCTTCGAAGAGGATGAGAGCCATAGAGCCCGGATACGCCAGCGATCATACTGCCATCACAGACTACGAAGAAACGGAACCTCGAATGTGGACACAACAACACTTGGACGCCGCCGAAATACGCAGACCAGACGCTGGTGTGCTTACACCGCCGAGTCTAGAACATGGACAAGATGTGGACGCCAGGGGACCTTGTGGAATGACACCGCTGATGGTAGCCGCCGTACGCGGTGGAGGATTGGACACCGGTGAAGAAGAAGACGAGAGCGACGGTACTGCAGCTGTGATAGCCGACTTGGTGGCCCAGGGTGCAGACTTGAATGCTACAACCGATAAAAGCGGTGAAACGTCTCTTCATCTGGCAGCTCGTTACGCCCGAGCTGACGCAGCCAAGAGACTCCTCGATGCTGGAGCGGACGCAAACTCCCAAGACAACACTGGGAGAACGCCTCTTCACTCCGCCGTTGCTGCAGACGCTATGGGCGTCTTCCAAATACTCTTGCGGAACCGAGCTACAAATCTCAACGCTCGTATGCACGATGGTACCACACCTTTGATCTTGGCAGCACGCTTGGCCACCGAAGGAATGGTCGAGGATCTTATCAATGCTGATGCTGATATCAACGCTGCTGATAACAGTGGCAAGACCGCGCTTCACTGGGCTGCGGCAGTGAACAACGTTGACGCTGTCAATATACTGCTTGTTCACGGAGCGAATAGAGATGCCCAAGACGACAAAGATGAAACACCGTTGTTCCTCGCTGCTAGGGAAGGCAGCTTCGAAGCCTGCAAAGCATTGTTGGACACCTTCGCCAATAGAGAGATCACTGATCACATGGATCGGTTACCTAGAGACGTAGCGAGCGAGAGATTACATCACGACATTGTGAGATTGCTTGACGAACACGTGCCTAGATCGCCACAAATGGTCACTGTTATACCAAACGGTCCTCTTATGGGTAAGTGTATTAATTTATATTTCCTTCTAAAAAATTGTCAGTTACTAGAGGATTATTAGGGATTGAATATTAGAAATCATACTAATCTTTGTCGGTAATATTAACCATTCTTGTTTCCTTGCTTATAGGATCTCCAAATCATCCACAACTAATCACACATCCCACAGTGATCGGTTCCGCACCGAAACAAACGAAGTCGAAGAAACGGCCGAAGACAGGTACCACCGGAAACCCAAACAGTCCCGAATCAGAAGGCGGAGTGGTAGTGGTGAGGCGAAAGTCGTCGGTGAAGAAGCCGCCAGCGAAACGTGGGGCGCAGCCCCCAAACCAGGAAATTCCTCAGGGAGCGGAGGGTGCAGAAGGAAATCTGCCAAGTCCCTATGACAGTGCCAGTCTGTACAGCAACACGCAACTGGTGGGGCACACAGCCACGGCGAAGCAGCCGCCTCCGTACGAAGACTGCATAAAGGGCCAGTCCATGCAGGGTCTGCAACAGCTAGGGCTGGACACATTCACAACCAATTACGGATTGCCTAACTTTCACGAGCAGCTCCTAGCGCCGCACCAACGGCAGGCGCAGGGCATGGTGAACACGTTATCGCCGCCTTATAGTAACCAATCGCCGCCACACTCGGTGCAATCAAACATGACGTTATCACCGCAGGCAAGCTACATGGGCTCGCCGTCGCCTGCCAAAAGTCGGCCATCGTTACCGACTTCGCCCACCCACATCGCTGCCATGAGACAAGCGACGCACCAGAAACATGGTGGGATGCCTCCCGTAGGCTTCGATTTCGAGAACCTGCCGTATTCCTCAAGTCAGCAACAACAACAGCAACAGCAGCAGATGCAACAGACGCAGCAGCAAATCCAACAGCAGCAGCAGCAACAGCAGAACACGCAGCAGCAACAGCAGCCACAGCAACAGCAGCAGACGCAACAGTACTATCAGTACTTGACACCACCGTCCCATCACTCTGGACCAGATGTGACGCCACAACACCTTATGCAGGCGCCGGAAAGCTTTCCGACCCCGTCGCCGGACAGTCCGGGTCACTGGTCATCCAGTTCGCCTCACTCGAACAGCGATTGGTCCGAGTGCATGGCCTCGCCAAACGCGTATAACGCTGGAGGCGGTCACCAAAGCAACAAGGGCTCCGAGGCGATCTATATATGAAGCCAGGTGATGCTCTCTTCCTCGCGCGAGTAGGTCGTGTAACCCACGAGAACTGTGATTGACTCGTCGAGTTCGAGGGTGATTCTCTCTGGCGCATATATAGAGACTTCTGGTTACTCCGGTTGGGTCGCGAACAGAACGATATAGTTTAGCCTTTACGTCGGCGTACACTGATGCAGTTGTCATGATTCTGGATTTATATATATATACGTACGCATATATAAATCGTCTGTGGAACGTATTCCTTTTTCTTTTCTTTTTCGGATTGGAGACACTATTCGCGTACTCGTTCAATGATTGTGCCTTTAACTAGCATGGTGAGAGAATATTAGACACGCGGTATATACATATCTTTTCATTTCTGTATCAACCAATCATCTCAGCTCAATGAACAATGGTGCCTTCGACTTGCCACAGTGTGAAGACCCGATAGGTAAAGTAATAGGGAACGAGACCTTGCTATCTACAATAGTATTGTACATAGGACATTAATATGGAGCGGAAGATCAGCTACCAACGTATGTATTCGGCGAGAAGAACTAAGTAGAGTGTAATATGTAATATTCCGATTAATATGTAACGCACAGTTATAAATAAGAGTGAAAGATCGACGCGTCTAACGTTCGTTTTGTTGCAAGGCACTTTGTCTATTGTAAACCGTAGTGTGCCGAGCATAGAACCGGAAGGGAATCTGTAATCCGCGTAGAAAACAAATATGGAGAATCGTGCCTTCGAGTGTCGTAGAGTAAGGATATTCGATTGTAGGTAAATCTTATTAAATTATGTGTTTTCCCTTGAAGAGGAACGCAGCGTTTCCAAATGGCCTTTAACGATTTAACGTTTATTACCGATTAGTGGGGCGAATTTAAATGTAAGATAGAGCGAAGGTAATTGTTTTTGCACGGTCGACGAGAGCCTCAGAGATATCGTCTTCACCCCGCGAATATAATCGTTCCATACACAGACATTCCATTCGCACGGCGCTACTTTTTTATATTTTATACTCTCCCCCTGTCGATTGTCACGAGAAATGTCCACTGCCCGCTGGATGAAAGTTTTGAGAATTTCAAGCATGCAAACTAAATAACAATTGTTTGTTTTCTAGTATAGGTATTTATTGCAAACTATACAGCTGAAATATTTGGATATGACCAAACAGTTCTTATCCCTTCTTCGATGTCTTTTCAGTTAAATATAATTTTTAAATACATTCTTAATTTTGTATAATCGTCTGTAGTTATATCAGTGGACAATGCACTTCTTTCCAATCCCTCTTCAACTCGTTTTACTTCAGAAGCTCAAAGGCTTCTTTGGGAAAACGTTGTTACAGAATTTCACAGAGAATTTTCGTTTGAGTCGCAACGGTTACAGACGTTTCCCGTGAATTATCTTAGAACCTACTACTAACAATCTAGCGTAATTGTTAGCGTTAATGTGTACGTTTATGCGTAATAGAGTCTCTTTAAATTAAATTAAATTAAGTACGCGACGGACGGGCGGTAAGACGATTCGCTGATCTCTCATCTACCAAAGCCAAAAGAGAATTCTTAGATAACACGACGTAATCCAGCGACAAAGCTGGACGGTGGTATGTACGCATAATAGGCTATAGAATCATTAATCGTAGGATTGTTGCGAGAGAAAAGATCTAATTATTGTGGTCGGTGAGATGGAGTTGATCGTACACGCTTGCAATAACGATCCAACAGTGACGCGATTCGAAGAACCCGACGACACGTCCTAATCATGTTTATGAATGAAAATATCTTCGTCTTGTTTTTCTAAAGAGGAAATTTGTAAATACTCTTTCCCTTCCTTCCTTACATACCTTCACACACACACGCATACTTTGCCCGCTCATCTTAGGTACTATACTAGTACTTTTTTTTTTTAATATAATTGTCTTTTCTCTCGATTTTGTACAAACTGTTTTTACATATTTTTATATTATGTAAGTTAGACTCTAGTAGCTAAGTAAAGCGTCTCCCCATATACAGTAATAATGTTTCCTTTGTCATATTATATGATCATAGAAGAAAAAGAATATAAATATATATATAATTAAACATATATATATATATTTTATGTGTACATTATATAAGATATATAAAATATATTTTATATATTTTATATATATGTTTTGTGTAATTGACTGTTGCATCGGGGACGATATTCGTCGGGCGTATCTACAATGCAATTCTGAATTACATAGAGCTGTGTGATGGAGCTTCCCGGATTCCGGAAGACGAGGGTCCAACGCAATTTCTATGACTAATCTCGCGAAACCTATATATGCTCCTAAGGAGAATCACTTTTTTTATTTATATATAAATATATAAAATACGAGTGAGAGAGAGAACGAAAGAGCGAAAGAGAGAGAGAGAGAGAGACAGAGTGAGAGAGAAAATTTTTGTAACGAATTAAAATGTATCTCTATCATGCGACTGCCTATGCAACTGTTAAATGCCACTAAAAAGTCTGCCAAATATCGAGCGACAAAAATATCAAGAGAAATGTTAATATTTTTTTAAATAGATATATTGTAAAAGATCTGATACGAACTAGCTCAATCGAATTTCAATGATGTACGTCGATACACGTGTTCGCAAATAAACGAATGATACTGTCAGACAGTGTGTGATCGACCAATGGAATTTTAATTGGTACGTAATGTAAACCAATTCTCGAACGGGCGTAAACGAAAACAATGAATTGATGTGTTCAAAATTTCAAGATGGTAACCGCTCTCTGATGCACCGATATTCTCTGTGTCAAACGAAAAAGACGATAGATAAGCTACACGCTCCAATTTATACAGTTATCTATGGATAAGTTAGAAAAGAAAAACTTCCGATTATTAATAATAGGTCTTGTTATTCCTTGTAACTTGTAAAAAGTACTGAGTTTTATTAGTTTTAACAATTCTGTAATGTAAGGATTTGTTCGATTCTATTGTACCCCTCGTCTCCTCCTTATTCCAATGTTCCCTCTTCACTTCCGGTACCCCGATCCTCAATATTTTTATAAATAAGTTATGTCTTTTTAAAACAGATGTAATAATAAAGATAATCTAACATTCACAATAGGGTTGTTGTTCTGTTCTATTGTGCTATGCTTCCGCATTCTATTCCTTAATAATGTAAGCATAGATACTTTCATCTAGTATATTACAACAGATTTTACACAACAATCAAACTGTATTATAGCAATAAAAAATTAAAAAAGCTGAAAATTTACTGAACATACATATTCTGAGATTTTGCTGATATTTCACCTTTTAATTTTTAACTTAATTGATACGACGAATAAGTAAATAAATCGTAAAGAAAAATTTACGTCATAACGAATCTATGAAATATAAATTAGTTATTTTTATTTAGATGACTTACAATCACCACTTAAATTATCTCCCTCATGTTGTATACCAGTCCATAGTGCGTTGTATACATAGTTTACTGCAAAAAGATCTGGAAGTAAGCAAATCTATGATAGAGTCAATAATTGTTCTTTAGAACAAGCTAGATACAGTTTCACAGTTTCAATTATAATAAAGAAGAAAATGGTATCTTAAATTTTGCTGTATTTGAATCTTTTGTATCAGAGAAATTTTACAACTAAAGAATATTCTAGGGTTGCAGAGACGTTTAGAAGACTCTTCTGCATCTATTATATTATGTAAAAAAGTTTATTAACAATTTCAAATAAATACAACAAATAATTCTTGCCGTTTTCTCCACAAGCTATTGCATGAGATACGATATGAATCATGAAAATAGTGCCATTACACGTAGCGGCAAAATGCTCAAACTAGTAGCCAAAATAATCCACAAACCTGTAGGGGATAACGTAATTTTCTGTAAAGATTAGTTTTTATAATTTCCACAAATTTAGAATCAGTACAGGCAAAGCATCTTTATAGGCTTTCCTGTTTCAGTTTTGGAGGGCACTAAAGCCCCCTTACCATTTCTTGTCACGCTCCACGTTACGGACAATTCACGAAAAATAGGCACGTTAGCAAGAAGCGAATATCCTGTATATTTTATTTACTACATGTACTACAGACGATATAAGGTGTAATATTATTTTTATGAACAATTGAACAATTATTTCTACTAATTATATAATTACTAATTATCTACTAAATACATATATAGCAATAATTTTATACATTTTGACTTGCAGATGGGTATTTACAACGTTAATCTTGTAAGCTTTACAGTGCAAAAAGAGCATTACATGAAATATTTGTACGAATTTTAAGCAGTGTGATATTAANCACAGTTTCAATTATAATAAAGAAGAAAATGGTATCTTAAATTTTGCTGTATTTGAATCTTTTGTATCAGAGAAATTTTACAACTAAAGAATATTCTAGGGTTGCAGAGACGTTTAGAAGACTCTTCTGCATCTATTATATTATGTAAAAAAGTTTATTAACAATTTCAAATAAATACAACAAATAATTCTTGCCGTTTTCTCCACAAGCTATTGCATGAGATACGATATGAATCATGAAAATAGTGCCATTACACGTAGCGGCAAAATGCTCAAACTAGTAGCCAAAATAATCCACAAACCTGTAGGGGATAACGTAATTTTCTGTAAAGATTAGTTTTTATAATTTCCACAAATTTAGAATCAGTACAGGCAAAGCATCTTTATAGGCTTTCCTGTTTCAGTTTTGGAGGGCACTAAAGCCCCCTTACCATTTCTTGTCACGCTCCACGTTACGGACAATTCACGAAAAATAGGCACGTTAGCAAGAAGCGAATATCCTGTATATTTTATTTACTACATGTACTACAGACGATATAAGGTGTAATATTATTTTTATGAACAATTGAACAATTATTTCTACTAATTATATAATTACTAATTATCTACTAAATACATATATAGCAATAATTTTATACATTTTGACTTGCAGATGGGTATTTACAACGTTAATCTTGTAAGCTTTACAGTGCAAAAAGAGCATTACATGAAATATTTGTACGAATTTTAAGCAGTGTGATATTAAGTTGTTTCAAAAGTAATTTAGTTCTAAAATCGAAACCGTTGTTCTTCGAGTCTCGCGACTCTCTTTTTTCCAATGATAATGATTCCAAACAGGGCATACTTTAGATCATATTTATTCATTATACATAACAAGTAACTTATTTTATTTGTGGAAAAAGCATGAGAAAAACCAATTCTTAACATACGAAATATTAAAGCCAACGTCAAAGAAGATATGTATGTCGTTCAAAAGAAAATATCAGTGAAGTTATGCTATTCGGCAGTAGTAAGAATAGACATGGCTCGGTTCGACTACAGTCTGAGGACGAGCCTATGCGTTTGACGGAGAATGTGAACACTAGATCTACCCATTTCCAAGCTAGTCGGTAGCCGATCGATCGGGTAGATCTACCATTTTGTCCTCAGGAACGCTTCTTTCTTTGTAGAACTTCTTATTTCTATATGTAGAGTGCAACATAATTATAATAACATGCACTAATTTTTGAACTCTTTTATTGCCCATTATTACGGTTCTTTATGTTCGGGATTTCCGAAGGTGCCTCTACCAGCCATAAAATTATTTTATTAGAACACTTAGCCGATCGATCGGGTAGATCTACCACTTTGACCTGAGGAACGCTTCTTTCTCTATAGAGCTTCTTATTTCTATAGAGTACAGCATATAATAAAATGCACACCAGCACACCAACACCACACCCATTAGAAATCGAAATGCTACCTACACCACTCTCACGACTTTTTCGAATATATAAAACTCCGCTCAACTTGCAAATATTAGTGTAGAAGCTAACCTCCTTGCTCTGATTCTCAACAAGTGGTGTGAAACGAAGTATAGAAAAAATATCCCTAAAAATGTCCAGAAACATGAATGACAATTCAAGTGATGAATTGTTTATGGACACACTATCAGACTGTTCTGAAGACATCTTATCTACTGATAAGTGATTGTGAAGTTGACGACAATAATAGCACCATCGTTCCCATATATCAGACTAATCGACGAATCCTTTCGAGTGAATCGGAAGATGATTCCGCCGATGACTCGGAATCAAATGTTATTGTCAATGGCGTCGATGATTGGACAGAAGATGATATTAGAGTTGAACTGAAGCATATGGTCGAACTGCGTGCATCAACACAATGCCTGAACATCACGATATATTACTGCTTTTTTGTTCCATATTTGAGTTACGTTATTTATCCGTCATCTTTACTGTCCTTAATTTTCTGACTCTATTAACTATACTTTTTGAATAACCATTAAAAAATAATTATTATAAACTTTTAAATTCGAATTTTGTATAAGCAATATGTGAAATCGTTGAACGAAATTGTTACCGTAAGATATAATTGATCACGTAAATAATTTACGGACGT